GCCCTGAAACTCTTCTACTGCTGGATCTCTTTGAAAACCTCACAAAAGCAATACATCTTCTCCCCAACATCCAAAACTGCACATAGGCTTAAGCACACAAAATTTTAGATGGTTCAACAAATCCCCAAAAATCTATCCATAATTTCTGTGGTTATGCTTTGCAATTAAAATTTCTACCACAAATTTCTACCACTATAATATGCCCAAGTTACATTCTATAACTATAAGAGATAAGTAATAAATACTTCTAACTTGACACATTTACATCTGAACTGCTAATCTTCAGTCCCCCAAACTGATCTATCTGCTCATTCCTCATATTAAGTAAGAAATTTTACTCTTCTTCTTTCTCAAGACACTAACTGGGAATCAATCAACTCTCTTTTTCTCCCACCTTCTCTTCAAACTCCCCAAAAACCCCAGTGCCCTTACCTTCAGAACATATCCTGAACCTTAGCACTTTTCATCATCTCCACTGATACAACCATGGTCCAAACTACCACCATTTTTGCCAAGAACATTGCAAAATCCTTCTAGCTGGTCTGTACACTCATTCTTCTGTAGTCTATTTTCAGTATAGTAGTCCATGGAGTCCTTTACAAACACACAAACAAAAAGTAAGTCATTTCACTCCTGCTCTTAAAACAACCCTACAAATCTATCAACTTATTCTAAGTTAAAGTCAAATTCCATACAGTGGCCTCAAGATCCTCTATGAGTAAACCCTCTATTACCTACAAGTTCTTATCTCCTAAGTCTCCCCCATCCTTCATTCTCTTCCAGCCTTGGAAAAAAAAAAAAACACTTTCAACTTTCCCAGAATCCCAGTAGTACTACAGACTGTTCCCATCTAGCATGCATAGCAGTTTTCCAGCAGTTGCTTATTTTGTTTATTTCTGAGACCACAGGCTCTTATCAATGACATAAAGACTATCCTAAAAATAAATAAATTAATAATAATAATAATAATAATAATAATAATAATAATAATAATAACAACAACAACAACAACTACGATTCTGGGAAAGTTGAAAGTGGTTT